CTGTCTGATCAGCCGTCCGCTGCGTCGAGTGCGTAGTATGCTTACGTTCTGCTTGTGAACTCGCCGGTTCGAGCCCCCAGTGGGATCGATGGATTCGCTCTGTAAATGAGGCCAAATTGGCTGGATCGCGACAGAAATTCACCGTCTAATCTAAATAAATTCTCTAATACTCTCAAGATTTTATTTTCTTGAGTGAATTGGCCCAATCATCTTATGGGTGAATATTTGAAAATTTCTGTGCGAACTTAAAAAAAGAAGCAGGAATTTGAAGAGGAAACACTGAACAATAATAGACGCTTTTGGCTGTCTGGACTAGTTGACTTAAGTGTCCACTCACCGAAGCCAGTCTCGCTTGATTGTACAGCTTAGTTCGGTCTCTGTAGGTAATCGAGATTCCACAGGTAAACATGNATGTAAATGTGTGGGGTTTGATAATGGGAACTGGTAACTGTTGCTGGACTGGGGAGGGCGGGGCGAGAAAACTGGACAAGTTCCATGAAATAGTCGGACTGTTCACATTCAGATGACATGTAAACAGTCCCGGGTTTTACAACCCTCTCGATTTGGGTTTGGACATTGGAACTGAGAATTCTTTTGGTTCGCGTGCAGTGCAGTTGCCTTTACCGAACATTTGTGAATAGTCATTAGAGTGAGCCTATTAAGTTCAATTATGTCTACTCACATCATAATCTATTCATAATATTTTTTACACGTATGATATACAATACCGAATTCTATACACGAAAGAATTCTTACGAAGGAGAAATTTAATGATTGACTACTATTATATTTATTTATTTATTTATTTATTTATTTATTTATTTATTTATTGTCTAGTTTTTAGTAAATATGGAATTACTTGGCCAGCATCTCACAACACCCGGGGATGAAAACAAGCATACCCACACACATAGGCCGGCATATGCACACACACACATATATGCTCTTGGTTCACGAAATTGTTTGACTGGTAAGGGCATTGAATAGATCATGAACGATGCATATACGGTGTTGACCAATGGATAACCCATGCGACGGACAGTACAAATACTCTCTTTCTCCATCTATATCTCGCATACTAATCAGTTTGGCCAACCAACCAACCAACGAACCAACAGTGCATTCGTTTTCGTATTCAGCCAACCCAATCCGGTCATGCTTATTCAGCCCGTGGTTTGCATATACCCTGTGAGGTTCTATCTATCTCAGGTAGTCTCAACCCCTCACCCCGGGCTCGACTGACCAAAGTACACCCAGCACGAATAATCAGCATGACCTGTGTGTAACTCACGCCCATTCGTGATGATGATCGTGCGGATGGACAACGTGCTTGTTGTCTCCTCGAATCGGTACGCTTGAGCTGATCCAGCATATACAGTCTTGGATGTATGCGGTCGTACCACAGCAACCGCCTTCGCACCGCCTCCCCTACCCCCAACCCGTCNTGACTCCGCAGACCGATAACGCTTTATTCCTGGTCCACAGACACACCAATCAACAACAAAGCCTGATTCGTGTCGCTCCACTCATGTCTGACAAGTAATCGCAGAACCATAGCTAGTGAAGTGAGACACTTCACGCCTTTCGTTCGAGCAATAATCATAATAATCCAGCACAAGAAATCATGACCCGACACATTCCTCCCGTGTTCCTTCCCACGTTAGTGCATTNAGTGCATTTCGCGTTCGGATTATTGTTTCTGTGGTTATTTCGAGTGAATGCATTCCCTGTCCGAACCGTGACAACAGACAAACATATTCAAACAATCAAACATACATATCATAATTATCCATCGGATTGGAATTCAGATGCTACCGATTCTGCGACACGGATGGTTCATCCAAGTGGGGAACACTTTCAGAACCGACTAATTAGTAGTGACGGTAAAACACTAAGGATTTATCTCACGGAAGCAAACAATACGAACGCGCGATTTCCCAAATCAGCAGGAATAAAAGAACAGCACCGACCGGCGGGGAATGATGGAACAGTTAGCGACCAACAAAATGGAAGAAGGAGGACTTCAAGAAAAACGAATTACCAACCAGAAGCTGCTTCGCCCCAATACAAGAAAAGGATAAATGTGAAAAGAGCCATACAAGATGAAGAAACCGAGCGAGCTGAAACTGAACAACCATTGACGGAAGAGACTTCAGCAGTGAAGACTACACCGGAACACGCAACTGAAGTTGTTGTCGAGGCTGTGGACACTGTAAGTGAAGCGGTGGTGGAACCAGCTACTGAATCCGTGCCTGTCGAATCGGAGCAACCGTCGTCAGAAGAGACGTCTGCAGAGTCTGAGCCTGCCGTAGAGACTACCCCAGAAGATGAGATTGTTGCTGTCGACGAGGCTGTGGACACTGTGAGTGAAGCGGTGGTGGAACCAGCTACTGAATCCGTGCCTGTCGAATCGGAGCAACCGTCGTCAGAAGAGACGTCTGCAGAGTCTGAGTCTGCAGTAGACACCACACCGGAACAGGTGACTGACGCTGTTGTCGAGGCTGTGGACACTGTAAGTGAAGCGGTGGTGGAACCAGCTACTGAATCCGTGCCTGTCGAATCGGAGCAACCGTCGTCAGAAGAGACGTCTGCAGAGTCTGAGTCTGCAGTAGACACCACACCGGAACAAGTGACTGACGCTGTTGTCGAGGCTGTGGACACTGTAAGTGAAGCGGTTGTCGAAGCATCAACTGAATCATTGCCTGTCGAATCTGAGCAGCCGTCGTCAGAAGAGACGTCTGCAGAGTCTGAGTCTGCAGTGGAGACTACGCCAAAACAAGCGACTGACGCTGTTGTTGAGGCTGTGGACACTGTAAGTGAAGCGGTCGTCGAGGCGTCGACTGAATCATTGCCTGTCGAATCTGAGCAACCATCGACGGAAGAGACTTCAGCAGTGGAGACTACGCCAGAACAAGCGACTGACGCTGTTGTCGTGGCTGTGGACACTGTAAGTGAAGCGGTTGTCGAGGTGTCGACTGAATCATTGCCCGTCGAATCTGAGCAATCGTCGACGGAGGAGACTTCAGCAGTGGAGACTACACCGGAACAAGCAGCTGGCACTGGTATTGAAACGTTTACTTCCGTTAGTGATTCCTATCTCCAGGAGACGGATTACAGTGTATTTGTTACGTCATCACCAGTCGTACCTTTACATTCGTCTGCTTCACTGATGGCTCGTTTGCCCATCTCTCCTGCTCCTGACAGTTTACGTTCCTCTAGTGTTCCTCCGCCATTTTTTTCCACTCCTTTTATCGATCGCAAGCAACTGTCTTCTTTGCCTGAGAAACCCTGGTCTGGTATTTTCAAAAAAGTTGATGATCGATCCGATGAATTTGTTAATCCTCCTGTCACGAAGTGGCCAAAACCTGTTGCACCTCGACCGGTGGATGATACTGTTCTGTCACCGGATTCTGAAATTGAACCGATCAGTTTCAGTCGTGGTTTGACTGTCGGTTTGGTTTTGTTGGCCATGTTGGTCTTGTTGCTTAGTGTCGGACTAATTCTTTTCCTGATTTGGATTCGTCATCATCGAGAACCGAATTTGGATAGTGATTTACTGACTCGACTGGATCGCCCTCGAGTCCAACCGGGTGGATCGCAAACACACACGACGAGTACAACTNGTCAAAAGCCACGCCACGCTCGTCTCCAACCGGTTTCTGGTGCCACAAAACCAAATGTCGATAGCTTGGCTTCTAAAAGTGCTCTACGCAGACGCCAGCAACAACACAGGCGGGCACGATTGTTGGCTCAAGATGCTCTATTACCTGAAGGTTCACGTACACCAGGCGGTCGATTTCGATGCTTAACAGATGATAGCGTTTACTACGGATCCGGGTCGTCCCGTGCGGATCCGGTCATTTTGATTGGTGCAAGACGAACTCGTGTCTCCCTAGACTCAGCCAATCGACGCACCAGTACACAACAGGTGAACGGGACCGATGGAACTGATGGCACAGATGACTATCTGACCGGGGAAACGTATTTGGAACCTCCAATAGCCCTAATGGATGCCGAACGTCCAATGACTACAACGGACTCCGAGGAATTACCTGTTTTGAATCCGATAACCGGTCCAAGCGAGAACCCTTCTAACCCTCTTGAACCACGTAGACTATCGCGTAATCGTGGTAAAGCATGGAAATATATTGACGAAAATTAATTTACCTCTTCAAAGTTTATTTCGGACTGATTCCAGTCACCCGCCTTTGGTTGCTCTTTTCGGTATCACATATAAGCATATATATACATATATAAATACACAAGCCAATAATTACAAGATACTCTGTTTAGACTGCACGCCCAATACCATTCAATCTTAGATCGTCTCCGACCCGTTCGAACGATTTTACACAGAAACAGCTGATATTATTTCGCAATCTATTTGGCTTCCTTTGCCAAAATTCACTGCATGAAAGGAACTGTTCCTGTGTGTGAGAGTATTTCACAGCCAATCCGGACCACCTTCTCGTGTTGTTCCATTCTGTCTATCTCTCGTTCTTTCTTCACAAAGGATTTTCGTTGGTTCAATAAAGAACAACTATAATCGTGAGTTATTTTTTTGTTTTCTTTCTTGTCATGTATGGAGGGTTTATTTGCTGTCTATTCGGTTCAAGCATTAAACAACACGGAACAGACACCCGCTGTAGATTCTCGTGACAATTTTACTACACCTATCCAAAGAGAGAGCGAGAGAGAGAGGAGTGATTTGATTTTGGTAAAATCGAACAATCTGTACCGATGTTGGAAATGAATCATGCTGTTTCAGTTGTCAAATGTGTATTATGTGATGATATGTTGGGATTGTGAAAATTTCAGTAGCCCCGGTAGGATGGTGGAGGCCAAACGCCTCTGTAAGTTGGACGGATAATTAAAATGTGAGAAGATCAGTGCTATCGGTGTATGGCCTCATGTCTCAGCTGGTAGAGTATGCGCTGTAAAGAAGAATAGATGGTGCTCATGCGTGAGGGTTCGAATCCCGCCGAGGCTACTGAACTTTTCACAATCCCAACTATTATGTAGTGTGACTGAAGCGGGTGTACTCATGTAGGCTAGATACCTCTACCCTGATCGATAAATGCCCCTATCTCGTCAACACATATAGACATATTCGATTTAAACCAATTGTACCACGCAACTGGATTCGACGAACAACCGATTTCCGCATTTTTATGGTAGCCTTCAAATTCTGTAACTAATACGATGAAATGGAAATTTGGACTATGCTACTTACACAACTTGTTTCTATTGTTTTCAGATTTGTTCCACTAAGTCATCCTTTTGCATAAATTATTCCAAATTAAGAACCAATCGGATTGATATCAGTTTTAGCTCCTGGCAAAACAAGGTGTCGATCACGGAAAAAACGTGTGTTGTGTTGTGTTGTGTTCCTTTCATGTGGGGCACCGAACACACCGTAGTTGAAACTGACTGTAAAGTTCCTACTTCAACCAGACTGAAGGCAATACCACCCGACCGCTAGATCCCTGTACATGTTTGCGTCCCGAGTGAAATCACGTGACATGAGCGAGAGAGAGAGAGAGAGATAGAGAGGTCAAGTTCAACAACGCCGTCTGTTCATCGATTTACTAGTGGGAAAACTCATGCCTCTCACACCCACCCCAAAAAAGCGCCGGATGATTCCTCTAGCTTCGTATGTTTTCATCTAAGGGTTGGTCTGG